TATATATTTTTTTATTATACCAGAAATGACTTTCACAACAAAATAAAATTTAAATATTACTGTTTTCTATTAGTCCACTGTTCAATTCGTCTCCTCTTATTTCTAATAACTCTGCTCAACTGATGTGGTGTTATTTGGCGACATGGTTATCTAATCCTATTACACAAATCTTCTGGGGTCTTGTTTAATATACTTTATCTTTCAAAGTTCTCCATAAAAAAAATCAAGAAGCTTCAAGTCTGGAGCTCTTGACGGCTACTCAACTAACGGATAGTTGCGATCTATCCACTTTCTCGGGAAATTCTCATTCAACCAATGACTTACTATTACCGCATCATGTATAAGTGCTCCATCTAGTTGAAAGTAGAGGTTCTGTCTTACATGAAGAGCAAGTGCATGTACTGAACACCAGAAATCATTATTTAAAAAATTTTTAAAAATCTGAGAGAACAGTAATATTTAAATATTATTTCGTTGTGAAACTTATTTCTGGTACAATGAAAAAATATATAATCATATTGTGAGCATCCTATATGAGTGAAATCATTGAAACTGCATGGATATATCTGAGATTAATAAAATTCTGGAAAATACAAGACAACGAGTGAAATTTTTCGAAGTTTGCACCTATTTTGTGAACACCCTGTAAAAGTTATAATAATGAACCTTTGTATCTAGGGTTTTGAGGAATGATTAAATCGAAAATGCTATCCATTTCTTTCTTAAAAAAATGCCTAATATGTTTTTTATTTATTGAGGGTTTTTTATTAATGATAGTAGGACGTAGAAAAGATCACATGTCAAAAAATATAATATCAAAAAGTAGGCCATTTTGAGCACTATCACATAAAGATAAGAATTTTGGAAATCGGCCAACGTCATCCTAAATACGGAGGTGTTCCGACTTTAAGAGAAACACACTGTATGTGAGTAAATATTTATTAAATGAAATTTTTCAAAACTTAACTACAGCTTAATCTATATTCATAGAATTACTATATACATGTACTTAAGGTATATAAAAAAGGTAAACTACTGAGGTAGGTACATGTTAACTCAAATAACATATATTATTTGAGAAACATATTTCGCAAAATGTAATATATAGTTTAAGGTAGTTCAAGTCTATATACATAGGAGTATATACAGAGAAAAATAAAAATTTCTTACATATAAATAACGCATAAAAAACAAATACTTCATGATAATCGTTCAATGCATTGTTTATTTCGGTATGCATTTATAATATAGATTATTGAATAACAATATCAGAACAGGAGCGGAAGGTCTCCTGGGGTCCACATCCTAATCCGGAAGTTCCATCGTCACACACTCCCCAGTTGTTACCTAAAAGAAAGAAAAATGTTTATTTCATTACCTCTACTCCATTCATCTGTGCATACATAAACAAAATTACCTTGAATTTAAGTCAAGGAAATTTTGTAATTTACAATTAATACGACTAATAGACTTAGTAACTACCGTAATATTTGCTTCATATAAACCTTTTTGTTATAATAATATCTCTACTCCTCATTCTAACTACGAGAATTTGCCCAGAAGTCGGAGACTTGTGCGGGAGAGGAGGTGGTATATTATTATTACGCAGGCCGCATTTGCGCCCAGGAACGACTTATGTTGGTATGCCCTAACCACCATTCAGTGCAGGAATGAGGGAAACCTGGAAAACCTCATTAATTAGGGGGGTGGTCAAATACCAATCGGTGTCAATCTCTCACATTGACCCAAGCCAACATTCTTCCACCCTACCATACCTGCACAGAGGGTGCCAATCCTTCGTACAAGCATAGCTAATCTACGGTCTACCGGCCGGAGGATACGAAACCCGGGCAGATCGACACATCGATTTAAGTACTGACGCCTTAAACCGTGCGGCTATCGACCGTATTGTATAGTATATTAGTTAGTCAAGTATTCGAATATTTCCCTACTTTTGCAGTTGTGAATTTGAAACACATTTTGTTATTTTAACTCCATTTACATTAATTCTTTATTGCTATAAATTAAATGTGTTGATTAATTAGTGATAATAGTAAATATTTTACTATTTTTAGTAGTCTTTTGATCTAACCAATAAATTGGCTAATTTATTGCAACATTTATAAAGTATGTTTAATAGTAGGTAATTAAATAAAAATTAGATTCGTCGGCCAAAGAATTTGTTTGTGTACTATTAACCCAAAGTACTTATTTAGATTTTAATTCTTACCTGCTGTGTAATGCCAGCGAAGGACACACCTCTCGCAGGGCTCCTCAGGAAGTTGTACCTTGTTTATAATATTGAACTCATCGCTTGTGACGTTGTACTGACTAGAACCATCTTCTAACATAAGAGGAATGAAGCAATCCTCTCCAGATTCCGGTGCCTTAGGGTCCTCCAACTTGCACAAACTATAATTTAGTAAAAATATGTATTTACTTTATTGTAATAATAGTATATATTTACTTGCACACACTACTTTTTATTTACTCTACTGTAATAATAGTATATCTCAATAAATCTTACAAAGAAATATTCAATTATTCAAAACTTGGGATATGTTAAAAAAAGAGAGAGTGTTCAAATTGAAAACATACAGGGTGTTTCTGAAATAAGTTTATTTTAAGATGGTCATAGAGAGCACGAAAATGAGCAAGTTTTATTAAGGAACTGATGGTCTAAATTCTTCTGTTTTCGAGAAAATTAATTAAGAAAATTAACCGTAAATGTAAACCGACCCTGTGCATCTTGTGCACGTGCGCTGTGTGTTGAAGTATTACTTAGCCGGCATATAAAACTAACAGTAACATGTGACGTGTACTAAAGGAACAATTATTACACCCCTATCGTGTACAAATGGTTCCGGCATTAAATAACAATGATTTTCAACCTCGTGTGGAATTTTGTCAATGGTTTCTATATCAAATAGCACAAAATCCTAATTTTACAAGCAAGGTGCTTTTTGTGGATGAATATTGTTTTACTAGAGACGGCATACTAAATTTTCACAACATTCACTATTGGCGTGATGCAAAAAATCATCACGCTATACCGAAAAGTCTTGGTTCCAGCAACGGTTTTCAGCGGATGTGTGGTGTGATGTATTTGGTAGCGCGCGGCAGCTTCGATATCACCAGGGGCGGCTTTAAATTTGTTTAAACCACCATGTGAACTTTTTTTCAATTTAAAACGTAATGTTTTAGACTATCATTTGCTTAATGAAAGGTGCTTATTTTCGTGCCCTCTATCACCTTTTTAAAGGAACGCACGTATTTCAAAAACACCCAGTATAATTAAATATTTAGGAAAATTGTAAAATTTTTAACTTAGAAAAGAAAAGATTAGGTTCTATATTTTAACTTAGGTACTTTAAAACAATTCCTAAAATGCTAAAATAATGAACTAATTCTTAATTTTGTATTAATCTTTGCCCAAGTTTTTTCATTGGTGCAATTTAGATAAAACCACCTTATTCTTTAGATTTAGTCTATGAAATTCCTTTTTTAAGGTATCCAAACTTAAAAACATCAAAGACTATTTAAGTTAAAAGATTAATATAAAAAAACTCATTTTTAAATGCCTTCTAATGAACATCGAAAAAATTTTCATAAGTAATTCTTGAATACCTTTTCTATTCATTTTCCCTAATAGTAGTTAAAAACATTTTATCAAATACTGAAATACCTATCAGTATTTCAATTACAGAACAATAGTAACACTTTTATCCGGTTGATATGAGACACATAATCACATAAATGAAAATATGTTTGTATTAACTTACTGTTATCAAATACATCTAACAAAGCAAGTTGCGCGTGTCACTAATGACAGACCTTAACACTATCAGATTTTTTATCATCTACATATTAAGTGTTTGAATAATTCAGGATAAAATACCTTTAAAACTACGATTAGACATATCTAGTCTTAACCGGGGATATTTTATGTTAAAGAGGACGACGACATTCTAAAAACATTTCGAGAACAAAAGGAAATTTACAGAACTGAAATAGATACAAATATACAGGATGTAATAGCTTAAACTGTGATAAAGTTTGAGATGATTGCTCTTATCAACATAAAAAAATAATAACAATTTTTCCCAAAATAATTCCTAAGTGATCTACGATACTTCAAACAGCGAACATGGATCATAGTTTTTATGAATTATTCAAAAAATTTATTTTCAACTTATGTTAATGTGGTTGACACGTTGAGACCCACAAACCCCTTTTAATTCCGATGCCTCTGATCAGTTTTTTTTTCAAATTTTACTATGAATAAAATTAAGTTTATATCTTCAGTGGTTTATGAGTAGTTGATCAAAAACTGTGTTTCATGCCCAATCTGTCAAAGATGCTTTGTTCCTTTATTGATTATGACGAGAGATAGCAGTTTTGAATTTATGTGTACTTGGTTTAATTTTACTTTGCCAAAATGAAAACAACATTACGAGTATTATTTAAACACATTTGTTGTATCAATGGTAAACACATTGGTATTATCTATAAAAATCTTGTCTGGCCTTTCTTTATTGTACAGGGTAGATACTTCAAAATAAACATGTTGCTTCACAAGCAACCAGACTGTTTTAAAGCAATTTACCTATAAGTGAATGTTCCAAGATGGTTAGCTGTGAGTCTGATTTTGACGTCAATAACGCTGCCAGCCTCGTATGTTCCTGCAATTAGTCCTGCCCCATATTTACCAGTATTCTCATTATCCTGAGGATGAGGATCACTATACGAATCACCGCAAAGTCCACATTTGCCTCCATTTTTATAATGTTGTACCTACAATAACAAAAACAGTTGTAATACTACAGCAAGAATATTTTATTTAGATTATTTTTTAATTCGCTCGTTTAAAAAATCAAAATGTTAAAAATACAAAATCATAAATAAATCAGAAGGTGATATTTGCGATATTGTAAATAAATAATTACACGAACCAGACTTGATACTTGAACTGGTGGAATTAACACAGGGTGACTAAAATTTTATACACCAGCAGTGTGTAACAAAACTCGTACCATTGGTAAATATTAAGTCACTAAAAATTGTCAAATGTGACCAGTAGGAACCAATTGTATTGTCTTCAATTTCTTGGCCCATTTATTTGAAACAATTTATGTAAATCTATAGAGATTTTAACAGAACAGATAATATTCGAAATAAACTGAAATTTGGCATTTTTAATTTTCTACCCTTTATAATTCATTGACAACTATACAGATCCTTTCTCAATTTCCAGTTTACCTTTTCCGACTCTCCAGTATGTATAAGAGCAGTGTTTTATATTAAAATTAATCGTCTTTACTCACAAACTGTATGGTAATTATCAGTGTGTATTTCAAATTTTTTATAATAGAAGCATAACAACGTATAATTTTGGAATACTTTAATTGAGAATCCATGTTAAGAAATAGATTTTCTTTATTTATTCGAGTGAAACGAGACTTTTTCCTAGCAATATTGAAAACCCCTTATTTTAAGACTAGTGAGAAAATCAGATGAGAAAAGAGTCCGTTCTTCTTCTTCTTCATCTTCATCTAGTGGTTGGTCCTTTAAAAAGTCCCATAGCACTGCGGCCTAATTAGGCCTATTGTGCGTCCCACTACTAGTCCTATTCAGCAAGNTTAATCAGTTTTTGGTACAACACTGTAGATGGCCCGTTTATTTAATTTGACGAATAATTATGTCGTATCTCTTTCAACAAAGCATTTTATTTATTTTCTATGTAACACTGTGGATACAAAAAAGTTGACAAACGACCCCCATTTGTAGTTTATTTATTAATTTTTGAGAGCATTAATAATTTGTAAATAAATAACTTAATGTTCGAATGATATCTATTTGCGGTTTATGAGAAGCGTCGAATGAAAATGACATTTTGTTTGACGCTGTTTCACTGTAATTAAATGCATCATGATGTCTATTAAAAATCCCACATTCCAATTAATTTTAAAATGTGTTTTGACTACGTCCAATGAACTTCTGGAACTTGATTATCTATTGTGTTAGTATGTTCTGATTTATTTATATTATATACATTTTAAATAGTTTTTAAGTTTCACATAGCACTAATTCCTTTTTTCTTCCTTCCAGGATATTTGAAGAAATTATATTACCAATTTCTGAATGTCCACTGACAATCTTATACTGGATTTCTAGTTTTCTCTCTGACGTCAACAGAGAATGATAAAGAAAATTGCCTAATATTTTATTGAGAGTTTTTTTAAATGAAGCAATATTCCAAATGTAATTTGTACTATATATTTTTGTATATTTTCTTAATTTATAATTTACACTACTTATATGTTTTTATTCGTATTATAAATAACGCCTACCATTATATAAATGGCATATCATTAAATATATTAAAGGTTTGGAAATAAATGTTGTTTTTATACTTACATCGAATACAACTTACCTAGTTACTTTCTTGAGCGTCTGTCACTTCTTGTTTCGCCCTAATTTTAGCTTTACCTGTTTATATAGAAAAAAAAACTCAATACTAGGTATATTCTGAATGTTCTTATTTCCATTAACAAGTGTGAATTATTTGCATCGAATATTAAATTCACACTTTGACATATTCCTACGACTTCTTAGAGAATGCTAATATATAATCAAAAGAGGAAGATTGTTAAAAAAACTGCTTCCTTTTTAAAAAAAAATTAATCATTATTTTGAGACAAATTTTATATTGATAAAAACATGAAACTGGTGATACAACTAAAATAAGTGTTTCAATTTCAATTCTTTTTTATCATTTATATCTCAGAATATTTAAAAAATTATATTAACTTGCTTGTGTATACAGAATTTCAGAGATTATTATAAGAAACAGTTCGTATCGATCTATTTTATACCTACTATATAAAATATCTTTTAAGTTTAGTCTAACTTAATAAAGCTGAGCCTAGAATCTTAACTAAGTAAAGGTAAAAACTAATTTTAAATATAAATATGTAAACCAGTGCCACTATAAGTCGAAGAAATATTTTATTTGGAAAACAGGTAATTTTCGAATTATATATTACTTTTTTAATCTAAAATAGCTTAGGTTCAGGTAAACTGAAATAAACTAATAGTTACAAATATAAACTATATCCCGGAGACTAAGTCCTTTACGATTTAGGTTCATACCAACTTTTCATCTTTAAAATGACTTTCCATCTGTTAATATTACTTTTACATATACTACTAGAAAAAAATAAAGGAACAATCAATTTTCACGATTTTTTTTGTGATATTCGAAAGGCTGTATCTCAATGAAAAATCGTTGTATCGACATAATAATAAAAATATGATGCTTTAAGTTTCTAATTTCAAGGTATTTAGAATATTTTTTTTAATATGATGCTTTAAGTTTCTAATTTCAAGGTATTTAGAATATTTTGTTTTCAAACTCAATCAATACGGAAGTCAATTAGTTTATTTATTTAGCTTCAACTTGATTTCTGTAAGGTGTGCGTGCGAAAAATAACACGTTTGCCTTTAATCATCGATATCTCAGTAACAAATTATTGCACAGTAAATCCAAGGGCAGTTTTGGAAACTAGAATAATAAAAAAATGTTTTTTTCAGTGACATCAATTTGAAAAAAGTGCAAAAAATGAATGTTTGCAGTTTTTTAGAAAATCTACCACTAATTTACAAATATTTAGGTATGAAAAAACAAATGTTGAGTGAAATTATTATAGCTCAATATACTCTCAATAACTCTGTAAACTGACAAATTAATGCATCAAGTTGAGTTTAAAAAAAATCCATGGACAGGCCTAAAGAAAAAAAAATTTGGAAAATTTTCTAGGAGTATTTCTTTTGATTATTCGATAACCGTAGCTCAAAAAATTTGTTTGTCTAAAGATTTTAAAACTAAAACTAAAAATAAAAAAAAATTTTTATTATCTCGATACGATCATTTCCACTGAGATATAGCCTTTAAAAAATCACTAAAAAATTAATGAAAATTTTGTTTGTCTTCATGGTCTGAAATTGCCAATTTTTTTAGGGAATATGGAGCAATCTTTGAACTTATTTTAGTTTCAGAGAGTGAGGCATCGCATGAAAAAAGTTAATTAGATTCCTGCAAATTCATTATCAATTTCAAATAAACTAATAATCTAAAAAATACTCAATTTTGTAGAGGTTCATTTTGACACACAATGTAAAACATACAAGATGTTTCTTAACTAGTAGTTTTCCTTTTAACACGATGTAGAACTCAAAAGGCTAAGAATTTTTCCCTTATCCATGACTCATATTGTTGGAAGAGAACATTTTTCCCGAGTTATCTCTTTCTGTGAGTTTACGCAATTCCTTCGCTGTATTCAGTTGAAATTCATACCGCAAACTTTTACTATAACCTCACAGGTAAAAATTACATAGACTGACAGTCCTGAAAGTCAGTTGGGAAATTCATTATTTAAATAATCCCACACTTCACGTATGAAATGAGCTAAAAGCATCATTACAGTGAAGAGCACATCCCCAGTTCAGTCCGGTTATTTTGCGAAAAATTAAGATAGTATAAACAAGTTATTCGTTAAGTTTCTTTCGTAAAAACGTGTATTTTATTGTTAGCTCTCATATCTTTTTACTCTTTATTAAGGTTAATTAAGGCAAATTCAAACTATTCCTATCAAATGAAGTCAAATATCCTTCGATACCAGATATCTAGGTATGCAAAAGACATAAAACCTCACAAACAAGATTACTAACTGTAGACTAATAGCCGGATAGGAAAATTTTTCTTATCATTTTAGGCACCGTAAGAGTCTGTGACTTAATTACTACAACCTAAAAGAAACCATTTGAGCACTATGCCGTCAATTCACCGTGGCACATGGGTTGTCAGCGGAAAATCAAACTTTCCAATTTTGGGCCGGGTAAATTAATTAAATAGAAATTGACGGCATTTCGACCCAAGACAGATATTAGAAAACTAAGATCTTATGCCGTACAAAAATAACGGTTCTGGAAAGAATAAAAAATTTCATTTTCCAAATATTTTCATTAATGTAAAAATTATAGAAAACTGTACGGCGGCGTGCCTGATTTTAAATAAAGATATTTATTTGAAAGTTATATTTTCCTATGCCGTACGAATGCACTGGCTCTAAGGGCTTTTAACCCTTGCTCAACTCTTACCTTTTACGTAGAATAAGGAAAATTATTAGAGGCACCCTAAAATTAAAAAATTTCGAAAGCGCTATATAAAACTATAATCCAAGTCATTATGCCGTACATTTTTTATGGCACATGAGGTCACAGTAGGGAAATGAATTTTCCACTCAAGAGGTGGATATTTTAGCGAAAAGTACGGCATTTGTGCCCGTTTCGAGTTCATTAAAAATTAACTATTAAACAAATATTGCCGTATAAATATCGTGGCACTAAAGGCAAAAAATGGCCCCAAAGTTCCAAAAAAATGTTTGCATATAACTGCATTTTTTTTTCTATGCAAAAGTTTTTAATATGTGTACGCGCATCTACAAAACAATTTGTTTGTTTTGCCAAAATTTATTTTTTATTTTTCAATTATGTATATATTTTGAATCCAATACAACAAATAAAATAAAATTGTAAAATCAATAATAATTTTTATCATAATTTTCTTTGAAAAAAATTTATTTAAAAAAAATAATTAATCAAACAGGAAGATAAATTAAATTTGCCGCTGAGGATCACAGCATTAGTCTCCAACATTTCAAAAGACCAATCAACTTTCACTACGTCTAGTATTATACGCACGTCCGGACTGACACGGATTTTTTTTAGTAATC